GTTCCTCAACTGACAAGTGGATAATGAAAATGTGGTTCATTTATATGATGGAGTTTTACTCAGCAGTAAAGAAAGATGAAATCATGAAATCTGCAGGTAAATGGATGGAACTAGAAACTGTTATACTAAAAAAAGTAACACAGACTCAGAAAAAATAACAACAAAAAAAAACCAACATATGTTCTCCCTCATATGTGGATCCTAGCACCAAATCCTTGTGAGTATGTATACAGACATAACTGCAGGAACAAGGATAATGAAAAGGAGCCAGGGAGGTAAAGGAAAAGAAAGAATCTGAACAAGAAGAGCAGTAGGAAACAGGCCTTAATAAGGGAGCTATGGATAAAAATGGGGTTATTGGGGAGGGAAGGTTATACAAGGAACCTAGGGGATAAAGGGAAAGAAGAAGCTCAAGGGAGCTGGGACCATAGGAGAAGGGTATTATTAAGGGAGAAATGGGAAAAATGGGGGCACCTTAAATGGGGAAACCATGGTGGAAGGGCTAGACAATACAAGAGATAAATAATGCCTTCCTCATTTTAAAAATCCAGAAAACCGTATTAATCCAACAATCTATTGACAAATTATACATACAGCTAGATCAAAGAATGTAATATATGTCTAGGCAAGGTTTATCTGAGAGCGTTTGGTCTTTGCCCAGCTTTATCTACATGGCACATGGTAATTAAAAGTACCACACCTTCTTGGACGTTTAACAGCCATACTATGAGGCCTATACTAATTTGGACAGAGGGACATAAAGGACAGTTTTTGCTCCTTTCCCTCCTAGGTCGACTAAGTTCCAGGGGACTATGAGCATCTCTCAAAATGTCCTATAACTGTGGTGAGTCACCTGTCCTCTTGATCAAGGAGGCCATGGAAACCCCACCAGATGGACCTGAACCAGTGTTCAGTCTACAAAGGGGAGGGTCAACACAGAGAAAACATTTCCACCATGCTTCCAAGTGAAGCCAACCATGGTCGAGCAGGACCTCTGACTTATCTTCACATAGACGGAACTGGTAAAAGAATGGAGCCAGGGGCTCCTCCCAAGCCCATGTGACCCCTGAAGAACAGATCCTCAAATGACCTTAAGAGTAAAAATAAATTGGTTTATCTGGGCCAATTGTAGGGTCTTAAACACCCCAAAGGAAAGTATAACCAAAGATTAATGGGGTCAATACAATTTTAAGAGTCCATATGTATAGCTAAAGGCTACATAACAAGAAACAATGCCAGACAGGAGATACCTTCCTTTGAGTTATTGGCCAGGATGGCCCAAAAGACTCCCAGACAGTAACTCAGCATAAAACTGGGAAAATGAACAGCAGACCCCAATCTTATCTAAAGGAATATTGACAACTGATTGTTGCTAGATAAGGAACAGTTGATCTTTCTAAAACAAGATCTCTAGATAGGCTGACTAGATTCAGCAGATGGACAAGCACTGGCAAACAGCTGGGGGCGCCGACAACACAGTGGACAGTAACAGGGATGACAGAGTATATGGGCTCCAGTGGGGGGTGGCTATGGGAGGGTGCCATTTGGGAAGTGGGTATATAGACAAATAAGACTGTATGGTATGTACTGTATGATATACACACAAAAACATCAACAAATTAAAGAAAAAGGCATATTTGAGGAAGAAGCATAAAAATTTACTTCATGTTAATTAGTAGAGGTGATAAACATTACCAGTGAAATCTACCTGATGACTTTATATCCATACTCAGGTGCCAAGGATCTGAGTGTAACTGGACTATGTCTAGTAATAAGCAGATACATAGAGATTAAAGACACATGTGCAAACATTTAAGCATTAGTAGCATTAAAAATGTAGGAAACAAGCTGGGCGTGGTGGCGCATGCCTGTAGTCCCAGCACTTGGGAGGCAGGGGCAGGCGGATCTCTGTGAGTTCAAGGCCAGCCTGGTCTACATAGTGAGTTCCAGGACAGCTGAGGCTTATAGAGAGACCCTGCTTCAAAAAAGTAGGAAACAGTGTATTTTAAAATGAAATGGAGATGATCTTCAAAGGGTAAAATCTCATTCAATTTTATTTCTTACAGGGTTTATACTGAGTTCAATATTGTATAACTGTATTAATTGAACTGTGAACCTAAAAATTTACAGTCACTTTTGAAAGAGAAGTATCCATGCCCTGGAAATTGTTACTGAATATGTTAAAGTGGTAATGAAATGCTTCTTCTAATCATGTGGTTATTAAATAAAAATATAAATAAACAAGTAAAAAAAAGAAAAAAATAGTGCTTTTAGAAAACTTAAAAAAAAAAAAAAATTAAAAACCTGAGCCAGGTATGGTGGCCCACACCTTTTGTCCCAGCACTCGGGAGGCAGAGGCAGGCAGATCCCTGTGAGTTAGAGGCCAGCCTGGTCTACATAGTGAGTTCCAGGTCAACTGGGCCTACAGGGAGGCCCAGTTCCAAAGGCTAAAAATGTCAAAAGTATTTGGGAGCTTAGATGCTTGTTTCTTGTACTTTATCACTGTGGGTCAAGCGTTCTTGAAAAGATCAAAAGGAAAAAAAACTGAAAACCTGGGCTGGTGAGATGGCTCAGTGGGTAAAGGCACTTGCAGCACAAGCCTGATGACCTGAGTTCAATATCCAGAACCCGTGGTGGAAGGAGAGAACTGACTCCTGAAAGTTGTCCTCTGATTTCCAGATGTGTGCTGTGGCCTGCTCTCTGTCCTCTGTCTCTCTGTCTCTGTCTCTCTCTGTCTCTGTCTCTCTCTGTCTCTCTCTCTCTGTCTCTCTGTCTCTCTCTCTCTCTCTCTCTCTCTCTCTCTCACACACACACACACACACACACACACACACGCACGCACACAGCTGAAGTTCCTTTTGGTGTACACATGTCCTCTCCCTTCCATCCCTGCTTTGCTGTGTAGTGCTGTGTTAGCCTAACATTCTCCTCCTCCTAACAACCTCTTTGCTCTGCTCTGCTCTTTACTGGAAAGGTTTCCACAGAGGCACTAGTGCACAACTGCTCAGTTCACAGTTTGTGGCACACTGACAATGACAAAAGTCGAGTCACATACTCTATTGACTAAGTCTGTTAGAGTGCTCCAAATGGCTCCAATAGTTTCCTTGACTAACTTCATTATTAATATGTAAATTCAAACAAAAAATAAGTGTATGTTACTAGTGTCCTAGGACACAGAAAAGCATAAGAGCATGTTCCTACTATAACAAGAAAACACTCAATGATTTACAAAATCATACTTTTTTTAATTTGTTGAGGTTTTTTTTTTTTCCTTTTTGGTCTTTTTGAGACAGGGTTTCCCTGTAGCCCCAGCTGGCTTGGAACTCGCTTTGTAGACCAGGCTGGCCTCAAACTCACAGAGATCTACCTGCCTCTGCCTCCTGAGTGCTGGGATTAAAGGCATGCGCTACCATGCCCGGCAATTTATTGAGAATTTTATATATGCACATAAGGTGTTTTGATCAAATCCACGCCCATTCCCTCCCCTCCAACTCCTCCCATATCTCCCCATCACTTTTCTCAGACAACTTCATGTACTTTTTTTTTTTAATGGGGTTTTTTACTACTCTAATATTCTCCCCTCTGAAGAGGTAAGCCTAAAAACTTCTAGGGATTAGATAAAAGCTCCCAAATACTTTTGACATTTTTATCCTTTGGAACAGAGTATGTTGCTAAGGGGACATTTTGACTTTTAGCCAAGAAATTGGTTATTTTTCTGTGGGGTCTTTTTACCGACTGCCTAGCCAATTCCTACATCCTATTCTTATCATGCTATCCTCTGAAGAGGTTACTCAAATTGCTGATAGGGAATCTTCTTATGGAGCCCTTCAGAGATCTGAGCTAACAAGGCAAACAAGGAAACTGAATCACAAACTATGACACGGCCCTGTGAGGCCCTCTAAGTAGGAACAGGGCACAAGGAGAAACTGTTGTTGTCACAGCACAGTTGAAATAGGAAGCTGTCATATCAGCTAAAAGTAAACAGAAATCAGCTAAAAGTGTGGGGTAGCAAGTCACTTTAGAATAGCTGGAGCCACAGACTTTTGTTTTGCACTCTCCTCTCAGTCTCACTAAGTGCCTCCCAG